ATTATATTATAAAATTGTTTTTCTAAGTATTATTAAATATAATTCAATATTTATATTTAATTTATATATAATTAATTTTCATAGGATTTTTATATATTGCTATAAGTTTATTAATTAATTGGAATTTCATTAAATAAGGGATTTAGATATATAAAAAGTATAAATATTCTTGAGCTTTTTTTTTTGTTTGATTTATTATATAAGATTGATATTATAATTCTATAATAAGTAATATTATATATAGCTTTAATTATTTTGTAATCAATAATTACTATAAGCTTACTTTTGATTTTATATTATCTTTAAGTTTAAATAAAAGATTAATAAGCTTTGGAATATATAATCTTTTTATAAAAATAATATTAAAATGAAAATAGAATATTTAATAAAATAATAAATTGTAATTAAATATGATTATTAGCAAATAAGGATTATTCTTAAAAAAAAAAGAAATTATTGTAAAGATTGATTTTGTAAATAAGTCTTTTTCTTATTTTTCTTTTTTTGAAAATAAAAAGTATTCTTTTAATAGAGATAATAGAAATATTAGAAGTTTGGACTTTATAATTCTTAGAGGAATCTATATAATATTATTATTATTATATAAGCAAATGAAATAAATAAATGATATTAGAATTATACTATAGTAATATTAATTGAAGCCTTATAATTTCATTTTATAATACTTTTATTATTAATATTTACTTTTTATAATCTTGAAGAACTAACTTTGAATTATTATCTTTAAGAGTTAATATTTTAATCAAGAAATTGGTTTTATGCTTTTTGTTTTTTTTATATTTATCTATATTTATATTAAAATTATAAGAAATATTATTATTATCTCTTTGAGATTGATTATTATTAAATATAAAAGTTTAATTAATAAATAAATAATATAAGTTTTTCAAAATAAATAAATTATAATTTGAGCTAAATAATATAAAAAATATAATAATAATATTTATAATTTTATATATTTAAAGAAATATCTTTATTAAATTTTAATTGAAATAAATCTTTTTTCTATAAATAATATTAATATATAATTTATTTAAAAAGATATTATAATTATAAGATATTATTTAAATAATTACTAAATAATTATACAATTATATAGAAAATTATAGATAATATAATACTTTATCTTAAAAGAATTATAAAAGTAGAATATAATTTATTCTTAAAATCTATAATTATAAAATCAAGAGTAAAGTATTTATAAAGTATACCTATATATTAACTATATATATATGATCGAGCACATGCATAAATACGCATGTAAGCGATCGCAATTGCGATTGGGTGCGATCCGTGACATAAGAAAGATTGATTTATTAAAGATTTATTCGAATTTATTAAATTATGAATTTTATAAAAAAATTCGATTTGAATAATAATATAAAGTATATTAATAATTTTATTATTTATTAAAATTATTATAAAAAGGATTTATAAGAAGATATTCTAATACTTTTTATATTTTCAAAAATATTAATTATAGAATTAATTAAATCTATATTATATACTTTTCAAAATATATTAATAGAATACTTAATTTTATAAGGAGAATATTATAATAAAAAAATAAATATAATATTATATATAAATTATATTAGAATATTTATAAATAAAATAATAAAATAATGGATATATCTTATCTTATAGAAATTATTATTAAATATAAAGATTTCAAAGTATTACTATTTAAAGTAATTATTTAAAAGCTTTAGAATAAGTTTATATTAATAATTATTATAGTAAAATCTATCATTACTTAAGAATATCAAAATATTTTTTAATAAGTGATTTTAAATTAAATTAATTTTATTAAATGGTATAATGAATAAACTAAAACTTATATGAATATAAAGTTATATTATATTAAAGTTAAGAATAACTTAATAATTATTAATTTTCTATAAACTATAAACATATAAATACTCCTTATATAAACTAATATTATATTTATTCAAATTAAAATTAATAATCAATTTGGAATCCCTAATTATTTTTTAAAATAATTTAGAAATATATTTAATAATTTAGCCTATTAAGATTTATTAATATTAAAAGAAAAGAATATCTTTTTTATAATAAATCCTTAATCAAAATTAATCCTATATAATTTATAAGGAAAGTAAGGGAATAATTTAAGAAAAGATTATTTTAGAAGAAATAATAATTAATATTATTATTCTTATAGATTAGAATTTAATTAGAAAAATTAAAAAATTAGTTTTAAATATTATTCTAAGATATACTAATTGATAGAATTTGTATTTATTAGAAAATATAATTCTAAAGACTTAATTTTATTAATAGAAAAGAAATATAATAATATATAAAAAAGAATTAAAAATAATTAATAATCAAATCTTTAAAAAATCTGAAAATAAAAGAAATAAATTAATTCAAGAAATAGGATTTTTTAATCACTTAATTTTAAAGATTTAGAATCAAAAATAATAATCTATATTATTTAAGGCTAATTTTGCTATAGGATATATTGTATATTTATAAAATTATTCTATTTATTCTCTAATAATATTATATTTGATAATAGAGGTACTATATATTTAATTAATAATATTAATTTTTTTAATAAAAAAGGATATCTATTTTTATTATCTTTTGATTATATTAAAGTTTGAATAATAAAATATCAAATTATTAAATAAAATATTTGAATAATTAAGAATATTTTGTAAAAATCTTAAAATTCAAAAGATAATTTGATTTTATTTAATATTATTTATATTCCCGGATTTTATATTAATATTATTTTGAAAATAAAAATATAGTTTTTAGAAATAGATTTTTTTTTATAAAAAGATAATTTTAAAAATAATTATATTATTACTTAATATATTTATAAAGATAATTTCTTATTCTTATAACATGGTTTAACACCAAGTGCACTATATCACCGAGTGGCCCACTTTCATCTCAATTTATATTTTCAAACTCATATTATTCAACAACAATTGAATCAATTGATTGAAACTATTAAGAATTTAATAATCTAGAATCTATTATATTATTTTAACAGATTCTTATATTATATTCTCTTTTTCTATATTTATTATAATATTGATTAAAAAATATTTTTTTATTAAAATTCCCCTTTTTTTGATATTTATTATATTGAATCTAAATATCAATTTTTTATTTAAATAATATATCAAAAGTTTTTTATTTAATAAATATTCCTTTTTAATATAATTAAGTTTTTTTTATATATTGATATTTGTTTAATATCTTATTTACTATTCGAAATATATAAATCTCTATATTTAAAGATATATTTTTATAAGCTAATCTCTTTATATTTTTAATTAAAATTAGTATAATTTCAAATATAAATATAGAAAAGTTTAATTGATAATAAGTTATTTAAAATTTAATTAATATTAATTGAAAAAAAGCTTTAATTGAATTACAAAAGGTTTAAAAAATTCTTTAATTTAGATCAAAAAAAAGAAGAGTAGATATACAAATTCAAATATCTAATTTTGAAAATATAATTTTAGGATTAAATAGAATTAAATCTATTCTTTGAAATCCTAATTTTATATTCTAAAAAGTAATTGATTTTTTATATATAGTTTTAAAAATTATAAAAAATTCAATTTTCAAAATATAATTAATATATATTTTAATAAATCTATTAATCTAAATATTATATAAATATTTTAGATTATTAAAATAGTTTATATCAAATAATTAAATTAAATAACTTTAATATAATAATAAATATATATATTTAATATTATTCCTTTTATAATATATTCAAAAAGCTTTTGATTTATAATTTTTATATTTATTTAGTATTAATATTTAATATTTATTCTTTTCGATTTTTAATATATTTATTAAAATATATCAATTATTTTAAATCTATTTTATAATTTATTTATTTATTAAATATAGATTTAATAGCTTAATCTATAGAAAAATCGGTTTTAATATATTAATTAAAAAGATAAATTTATTCTTAAATTATTAAAAATAGGAATATAATTTCATTTTCCTTATTATTATATATAATTATTATAGCCTATTTCTTATTATCTAATTATATTATTTTGCTTTTGTTATTTTATTTAATATTAATTATTATTATTTTGGGATATATTATATTTATTATAAAACTTCTTTTATCAAAATTATAGAAATAATAAATAAGAATATTATATTTTGCTTATATATTCGAAATTAATTGAAACTATTTTTCAATAAACTTAGAATCTTTATAAAAAGCTTTTTGAAAATCATAAATATAATTAAAATATATTTTTAATTCGATTCAATACTTTACAAATTGATATACTTAAAGCTTTTTAATATATTTTGTATTCTTTAATTCAAGAATATAATTCATTATATCTTCTATATTCTTTAATTTTAATAGAAATTCTTTTAAATCTATATCAAATATATATTAAATAATCCCTTTTTTTTTAAATTCTATAACCTTATAATTATTAATTCGAATTTTTATATAAAAAAATAAATCTTCTATTCTATATTAAAGAATTATATAAAAAATATTATAAAATATAATTATTTTTCAAATACTTAGTTTTTTATTTTTATAAATAGATTCAATAATAAAGAATATATAAGATTTTTAATTATTCAAATTTATTATAAATTATTAATAAAATATATATTGAAAAAGAAAGATGTAAATTGAAATGAAAGTGGGCTACTTGGTGATATGGGCTACTCGGTGTTAAACTACATTATATGTATACAGAAGCCTAGGTGGTCACTCCTCAAGTATACATGCACCAGTACATATGTATGTATGTATGTATGTATGTATGTAGGGTCCTTTACAAGACAGGGCGAGACAGGGCAAGACAAGACAAGGCGAGACATGGCGAGAAAAGACAGGGTCCCTGTCTCCCCTTCACGCCACACCACACCCCCTCCAGCTAGCAACCCCTTCACCTCCCCTCCACACCCCCTCCACCTCCACCTACCTACCCAACTCAAAGCTACCACCGCGCCACCTCACATCAACCCATCAACCCCTCAAAATCATTCGATAAACATTCGATAAACATTTCAAACCTGGTAGTCACAAGAAAAGCAAAGCCTGTCGATCAATACCACCCATACAGGTACTTGTTCGCCATCGCTCGGTAATGATTCTATTTCCATCGTTTAAGAGAGGGGAGAAGGGCTAGATTTACCACGACATCACACGTGCTTCCCTAACTAGTCACTTTATCCGAACTCCTCTCTTTAACACCGATTTCCTCTCTTCCAATCATTCAACTATCCATCTGCCTTATTTCATGGGTTCTATTGATCTTCTATTCTACTCCGTAAGATCCGTGAGGGACTGATCATAATATTGCATATCATTTACCCCTCCATCACTCCATCACTCCACAATTGTCCCTATCTCAACCCCTCAAATCACTCAATTTATCAACATAGTACGCAGGTACTACAGGAGCATTTTCAGTCTCCCATTCTTCTTTCCTAGATACTCCCGTTAAGACGGCTAATGTACCACCAAGTTTCCCTTCAATACCAAACTTTATATCTGTATTTAATCGATCTCCAACCATACATGTCTTCTTTCGATCGAATTGAAATTTCCCCTCAATAGAATCCATCATTGCTTGATTTGGTTTACCTAAAGCTGTTGGCTCTTTTCCTATCATATTGATTAATGGAATTGAAATAGATCCCGCTCCAGGAAAGAATGTATGGTTTGATGGTAAAGTACTATCAGTGTTTGTAGCCAAGAATACTGCACCTCGACGAAGGTAATGGTAAGCATGACATAACTTGAGATAATTGATGTGAAAATCTAAGCCAGCCAAAACTACACCAACATCATCATCAAGTAATGAGCCATCTGCTATTCCTGTATAATCTTCTGGTGTAATGTCGCGACGATAAGCTGGATCTGTACCTCCAATGAATTCTACTCCTTCTGTTTTCAATTCTGTTTCGATGCCACTTTCACCTAAAACAAAGACTTTATTCTTGGGTGTTGGGAGTTTGAGAATTCGAGAGATGTAGATTGCGGAAGAATAGGCTGAACCAAAGATTTCATCAACATTGCTTGGTATGCCGAGAGCTGTAAGCTTCTTTTGATATTCGGTTCTCGATTTTGTGGAATTGTTTGTTACAAAGACAAGCTTTTTGCCTAGAGTAATATATGATTAGTTCTTGTTCCATGAGGGAATTACAGTGTTTATTTCGAGGGGCGCAATTAGATGTAATTTGGGAGCGCACCTTTTGATCTCAACAATTCCAAAGTCTCGACCGTCCCTGGAAAGATATGATCTCCAGACCAAAGAACACCTTTTGCGTGTTAGCATATCTTTCTTTCTAGAAACTGATTCTCGTATATACCATCACAATCAAATAAGAAAACCTGAAGAGCGTAGAAAGTCAGCTTAATCCACCCTACAAATTCAAGCTTCGAAGCTTTTGTAGGACTGACTCAACAACGCACATCAAATTGATCGATAAATTCATTTATGGCAGATTGATCGCCGGTAAGATATTTTGGTGAAGCCATCACTCAGAATAGGTAAAATAAAAAAAGGGGATGGATCGTATACAAGACAAACTCAAGGCGAAGGCGGCCCAGATCAATGTCGAATTTCGATAATAATTCCTGACTCGAAAAGTACAAAGCACAGAAACAATCGGAGCTTGAGCGGAGGTATCGATCGGACCTGATCCGAAGATTCGACTAACCCCACCAAGAACACGTGAATTTTGACCAGCTATCAATTGGTGATACCTGATAGGTCAGGTATGACGAAGCGCCAAGAGAGCGGTAGTGGAAATTGATTTTGGATAGCTTCGTAAGGCGAACAAATCATAGCGGGAATATAAGGAATTATGATAAGGAAGGATCCGATGAAGTGGTACAATGGGAGAGAGAGAGAGAGAGAGAGAGAGAATACAACACTTCGTATGGTTCAATCGGAATTCATGGTCTGACACAATAAACTTTCCATATACCTTGGTTTCCTGCATTGATTCAGGGAAAGAGAAATAGATATTGAAGATCTTCCCCTTTTTACGCGGGAATTCCGGATGGCTATGTTTTTGTGTTCCTCTGTACTCTGTCGAGTCTGTGTGACTGACCAGTGACCACCAGAACTGCAGTACAAGGAGACAAGTTCACCCCACCAAGGAAAGAATTTTGATAATGGATAATGGATAATGGAGGGGTAGACCCGCGTGAGAGAATGCTCCCCCGATTAACAATCAAAAGACTCTAAAAGTTCTAGAACAAAGAATAGCAATCAATTACTCAGGTCGAGCGAGCGGTATACATTCCGGTGGAGTGTAACCGGTGGATTGAGATGTGAAGCCGAGAAGCACGACCGTTGACCAAAAGATATAAACTTACTCGAGACAGAATCAGCCAAGAGATTACGAAGCGGAACTCCTTCCCAAGAAATCATCTGTTTCAATCTCGGGGACTCAAGAGTCAAGTTCCCTCGTTCCTAACGCATGGGTTGGAGTGAAGGAATAGACTTCAAGAGAGTGGACCTGAGACGAGATGTACAGCGCCCTTTGCAACCAAATATCTGTGAAACATTGACCGACTAATCAGTATCATCTGACAACCGCGGCTTCACGGTACAGACAGGATACTCTATTGAGAAGGAATATGGCTACATTCAGAGCCATGCAGGTTAAAGGGATATCCATGAATATGTGTATCACAACTTCCAAGACGGTTGAGATTCCTTTGAGGCATTCTCATGTTACTAAAGTGCATTTCCTCCCGTATGTTTTGGATGCCTTCTTTTGCCTTGGATGGATAAGGTCAGGAGTGCATATCGTACATGTTTGTGTGAGAGTGTTGGGCTGAGGATATTAAGTGAGTAGGTAGGTAGGTAGGTAGTTACTAGGTAGTTACTAGGTAGTTACTATAAGTAGGTATAATAGATCAGAATCTCCTAGAGGAATAGTATTTTTGGACCCCAAATCTTTCTCATCATTCATTCATTCATCAATCAATCAATCAATCAATCAATCAATACTCTGTCAGGCGCGCCAGATACTTCCTCTCCTCCTCTTTCCATTTCCATCTTCACTCCCGCTGACCAATCAATTATATAAGCAGACTTTCTTATCTATCGTATCCATCGAATCGAAACATCCTCACATCGTCATCTTGAAAAGTAATTAATTTCCGATAATCATCTTCGATTTTAGGCTTCACTTGAAAGGATTCTTCCAACTTTTTTATATCAATTATATCCTCAGATATATATACTCACTATATTTACCTATTTACCTAAATCTCTATATATATACATACAAATATATCCGTTCTCAGATAATTTACGTATTTTTTGATAACCATCCCTTTGTTTCTATATATACCTCCCATATCTATATATTCTCCCCCCCCCCCCACCATCATCACCTTCCTTCCATTATCGTCATCATCATAAAAAATTAATTATTTGCAAACAATCGATCTAATCAATCCACCGTCCACCGCTTTCAGATAGAAGAAGAAGGAAGAAAAAAGTATCCACTTATCACAACCAACCCATCAAAACCCAAACCCCCACCATCAAAATCTCACTCTCGACTCCATTCGCATCAATCACCCACAAATTTCCAACCTTTCAATTTCCATTTTCATAATTTGCTTTCTTTTCGAACAATAGTCTCCGCGAAACCTTCTCCATCATACCAATATCCACCACCAATTCACTCATCCTCCCACACACACATAATAATCTAAAACATCGCAAAAATGGTTGGCTCACAACCTAACCTCTTCGCATTCCCAACCGTCGATATCCTGGCCACCACTCTCCGTCAATACATCGTGCAAGCCCAAACCGCCGGACTCACCCGCCACGACGCCTTCAAAATCGCCGTATCAGGCGGTTCCCTCCCCAAAACCCTCGCTGCGGCTCTCCTCGCCCCATCCAGCGGTCCCGACGACATCATCCACTTCTCCAAATGGGAAATCTTCTTCGCAGACGAACGAGCCGTGCCCCTCACCCACGAAGACTCCAATTACGCGCTCCTCAAAAGCGAACTCCTCGATAAAATTCCCGCCGAAATGGGTAAACCTACCGTGCACCCAATCGATACGGCGCATCTCGACGATGTTCAGGAATTGGCAGATCAGTATGAACAACTCCTCGTGCGCAGTTTCGCATCGCGCGATTCGGTCAAGTTGCCCATTTTCGATTTGTTGCTCTTGGGTTGTGGGCCAGACGGTCACACGTGTAGTTTGTTTCCTGGACATGCTCTCTTGAGGGAAACGGATGCTTGGGTTGCGCCGATTGAAGATAGTCCGAAACCACCACCAAAGAGAATTACCCTTACATTACCGGTGGTGACCCATGGAGTCAAGATAGCTTTTGTAGCGACCGGAGGTGGAAAGAAGGAAATTATGAAGGAGATTTTCGAAAAGGGAAATGGATTACCTTGTGCATTGGTTAATGAAGGAGCTAGAGAGAGGTGTAGTTGGTTTGTGGATAATGCGGCGGTAGAAGGAGTTAGTTTCCCTAGGAAGGGAAGTCTTTAGATTGGTTCTGAATTGAAGGTGGAAAATTTCAAGATCTAGATACTTTTCAAATATCAAAATAAGTTTACAGTAAATGAATGTGTGAATGATGGATAGATGGATAGATGGATAGATGGCTGGCTTGTGTCTTTGGATTTGGAATTTAAGAAGTGTCATGAGAGAATTGAATAGCTAGATGGATGGATGGATGAATAGATAGATGAATGGATAGATAGATGGATAGATAGATAGATAGATGATGTTCTGAAGGAAGGAACGTTTCTTGCTTTCTTGCTTGCTTGCGTTCCTCTTTTCTGCACTTCTACATCTGATTGGAGAACTAAAGTTGTCTGCTATTTCCCACCTCTTATCTCTCATCTTATTTTACATCTAGTTTCTAGTTCTTGTTTCTAGTATCTAGTTTCTAGTATCTAGTTTCTAGTATCTAGTTTCTAGTGACCTATAGATCCTAAATAGGTAGTTGTCGGATTTCTGACCTTTCTGTCTTTGTGTTTTTGTGTGCTTGTGGCTTTGTGTGCTTGGGTGCTTTCTTGTGTTTTATGTCTCTGTTGTACTGCAGGTGTGGTATTGAGGGCTTGAGGGCTTGAGTTGAAGAGTTGAAGGGGTGAGAAGTGGAGAGGTGGAGAGGTGGAGAGATGGAGAGAGGTGGAGAGAGGTGGAGAGTTGGAGAGCGTAAGAAAGATTTCGGGTTTTGGATGATAGGCGAGGTGAGGTGTGAATGTTGAGGGTAGGGAGAGGATAATTGAGGGGAGAGGATGAAGGGTAAGTGGGCAAGATGAGGTCATCAGGATGGAGAGGATTAAAATGGAGAGTGAGCTGGAAGGGCAGAGGAGAGGAGAGGTGAGCTGAGTAGGAGAGAGAAGGGAAAGGGGAGGGTAAGCGTGAGAGGGTGAGGTGAGGTGGTGAGATTTGGAGGTTGAGAGGAGAGAGGGAGAGGGGAGGAGAGAAGGGAGGATAAGGGTAGAAGAGAGGATAGTGATTATGATTGTGAGTTAGAGGAGAGAGTGGAGGATAAGGTAAGGAGCTGAGAGAAAGGGGATAAGAGGGTAAGCGTCAGGGGAGGAGATAGAACAGAGCAGAATAATTCTGAATAAGAAAAATCCAAAGTAGAGACTCAAGGTTAGTAGGAGAAGTAAGCAAAGAGCTGAAGCTAAGGTAAGGAGGTAAAAGGGAGGGCAAGAGGGCGAGAGGGTGAGAGAGCAAGGTAGTAAGAGGGAGAGAGTAACATCATACGATTGAATCGCTGCTTTTTCTTTTTCTTCTTCTTCTTCTTCTTCTTCTTCTTCTTCTTCTTCTCTCTTATCGTTTTGTGACAGTGACAAATAATGTGTATGAATGTTGTATGGATGATATATAGTATATAAAGGACGCAAAATAATACGAACTATCGTAGCTCGTTACTCATCCCTTTCATCATTTTCCTCTTCTCGCTTTCCTCTCCTCTATTTTCTTGTTCTTTCTGGTATATTTTCCTTCTTCTTCCTTTTCCTGCTTTTCTCCATTCTTGCTTCTTCCTTTTTTAGAGTCGAGACTTTTTGTCTAGAGTTCTTGGCGTTTGTGCTGGCGTTGACGTCAGTGTTAGTTTCGGTGCTAGTGTTGGTTCTAATTCTCATTCTAATGCTGGGGAATGATCTGTTGATCTATTATTTTCTTTGTCGCGATTCTTGTGGGAGGAAGTTTTTCCTGGGAAGGTTGAAGCGGGTTGGAACATTGAGTTTCGGGGGTTGGAGGTTGGAGACTGGAGACTGGAGACTGAAGGTTGGATTTTGGATTTGGAGTTCGAGTTGTTGATTTCTGGGTGATTTTGTGGGTGTGTAGGTAGGTAATTAGGTAGGTAGTTAGGTAGGTAGTTAGGTGGGCATCTAGATTGCTTGTTAGTAACCATCTAGATTTTTTTCTTCTGCCGATTTTTGTCATTCCTGTTTCTGTTTAGACGGATGAATGGAGTTCTTACTGCGAGTACTAGTTCTATGGTGTTATGATCGTACTTTTTGGGCTGGAGAGGGCTGGGGAGCTGTGAGAAGTTGATGAGTTATTCTCTTGTACGTGTAAGGGAAGAGGGGGCGCGGGGAATTTGATATTATAGATGCTTGGTATCTATGCGGGAAGATGGGGGTTAGATCTAAAATATTTTTACTTCTCAAAGGGAATGGAAGGAATCTCTGGTCTTGTATTTTGTACTTGAAAGGGGAGTGAAGTCTTAAGTTCTTGAGTGGTTGGGGACTGGGGATTGGGGGTTATACTCGAGACTGAAGTTGAAGCTCACATACCCGCGCTTGTTTGCAGGTGCGGTATATATGTTGATAATATGTGAGATTTAGAGAGGGTGCTCGAGCTTGATCTGCGGATAGAGAAGGATTGTGGCGGATGATATAAGATGAGGGATTGTGTTTATATTGATTAGATTTGGGATTTGGAGTTTGAGTCTCTGTGGATGTGGATGTGGATGAAGTATAGTGATTTTCTGGTAACGGGGAATTGCAATTTCTCTGGAGCAAATTGGGATTTATGTACCAGATCGGGCTGATGGAGTTGTGTTTTGTGATTCACGCGCAGGAAGTCACTTGCCTGCTTTTCGTACCAAGAGAATGAGGGGAAGAGTACCTCAGCAAAGAACAGAATGATGAGAGTGAAGGTTAGGGAGTACAAGTGTATAAGAGGAGACATGAAAGAGTTATGAAAGAGACGATGTTGAGGAGAAGGAGTCTGTGGAACAATATCGATCACGAATCCAAGAAACAGTGGTGACTCAGGACAAAAAGACATAGAACGAGGAAGGGAGAGAAATAGTGCGACGAAAGGAGATCGATAACATTGATCATGCTTGGATTTCCTAAGTCATTGAATGTCGGAATTAGTTCCCCGTATTGTGCTTGAATCCCCCAATAGCATCCACCCGTGATTCATATCTGCCGTACTTTCTTCATGTTCATGTTTTCCTTCCCAACCGAAGGTCTGGGGGAAAAGTCTTGCACAATATACCGTCAATAAAACCCATATATCACTTCCATAATACATCCTTCCGAACATTACATCGCTTTCTCCTCGCCGGTACCCAAATTTCTTCCACAGCTACTTCAAAGATGTGCAGTCCAGCTACATCGGCCTAGCAAGAAAATCCTGATATCTCTGTTCGTCCTCTCCATGAACAAACATCTCCAAACAACTTTTCAAAGAAGCCTTATTAGATGTATACTGCCAAATCCTCTCACGATAATCCCAAAGCCAGAATACCACAAACTCCCTCGCTCTCCCCAAATTTTTCCTTCCGGCCCTCGGATATTTCTCAAACAGATCCCAATCCCTCGGCTCTGGCCAAATGCGAAACTCGCCATTGCCATCGAAGTGGCTCTTGAAGTGCACGTTGAGTACAACTCCAATCTCCTGTGATTGTGAAGTCCACATCTGGCGACAAACCCAGTCGCTGGGAGAAAAAGTCGTGTAGAGATGGGTCTTGCCGTCGGGTAGCATGGGTAGGAGTTTGTTGCGGCGGTAGTTTTCGGCTTCGCGGAGACGGTGCGTTTCGGCGAGGGCGACAGTTTTCTGGTTGGTCTCGATTGCTTTGTCCCATGCTTCTACGCTGATCTTTTGCTTGGGGGCTTTTGCTGCGGTGATATCGGAGCGGGTGAGGCTAGGGGAGTGTGTGGTAGGTTGTCGAGGTTTGTTTGAAGTATCTCGAGAAGTAGAATTTGTCTTGGTGTCTGCAGCCGTATTAAAATCCTCATTGAGTTTAGAGACTATACTGTGTGAGCATGCTCGCTTTGTTGGACCTTGCTGTATGCTTGATTTTGTGTCTTTGGTTTCGGAAGTGGTAAGATGACCATGAGAGGAAGATGTTTCAGGATCTTCTGCGTCTGGAGATGCTTTTCTCTTATGTGAGGACATCTTCGATGAGGAATGATCGATGTGTGTAAAGGGTTGTGTTTGATTACGAAGTGTCGAGAGTCAATGTAGAAGTATTGACGAGAAGTTCTCGATTGCATTCTGGGCATCTGGCGATATGTGGCTTATTTTAGTGAATAAAAATGATTCGCAAAGTGATTTGGAGGTCTTTTTTGATTCACTATACTCTCTACCCACAGCTATATTGTGTTCGAAACTCTATTAACACTTTTACATTGAATATTGTTCATTCTGAACTCATAAGCCACTACATGTTGTGAGTCACAAAGGTTCGTTCTCTGTAGGTATTCCCTCTTCGATACCTGAATGTTTACAGTTCTTTTTTCATTCTTCCCTCAATGAGCCTTCATAATTCTCGATACTGCAAATTTCCTCTCAACTAAAGTGCTGGCGATACCTAAACGTTATACCTATTAGCCGCGCTCAGAAATATGCCATGCAACCCATTCCTGATGTGTCTGAAAAATTCTTGCTTCATGTATCTGACAAGCTCTGGAGTGTGCGGTCTTTGAGATATTGATTGTAGTCAGAGCCGTCATTCGAGTTTTGGAACCACACAAGACATTTTCGTAGAGGCTGTTTGGTCCCGATCAGTGTAGGCAATAGTATTTCCCGTATTTCGTATACGGGTTAGTTTAGTGGTGCGTATCGAATTTTTTCGAAATACGTACGTATGTGGTACAGAATTCAATACCACTGAAAGTATTCAATATCATTTAGTTATTCAATACTACTAGGAATATACTGAAATACTGAAATTCATTATAAAATATATATTCCTATTCAAATTAGACTAGAAACAAGGGATCTTATATCAATTCGAAATAAGGAATGTAATTTTATTATCTAATATAGATAGAAATCTCTTATTTCTAGTTTAATTTGGAAAGGAATGTATGTTTTATATTAAATTCCAGGATTTCAGTATATTGCTCGTATTCTTTAGGTATATGAATATATATGAGAGTGGTATAACCTCCTTTCTATACATACTAGCTGCAATATCAATATGCTAATACGCGCCACAGTTTCACTGTAGTATACTATTACCTACACTGGTCCCGATACTATAGTTCTCTCCTGCATAGTACCAAGCCAAAACTGTATGAACTTGTGGGCTCTAGCAAGCATGTTCTTTCCTCTTTGGAGTCGGCTGTCAAATCCTTCCCTTTTACTGGTTCGAGCCAGATATGAAACTTCCCGTCTTTTGCAAACCGAATCTCGAATTACACACTCAGTATTCCCTCCGCTTCCTTTTTGGCGGCTGCTCCGCTCTTATCTGTCCACTTCCGCTAATAACTTCCAACAGGAGGAAGATCAGAGTTACATGGATGGACTTTGCTGGATTCGCTAGGCGAGGTTTTCCCAGTTCCAGACCTTTTGTCGTCCTGGTCCATAGCATGATTCTAGACTTCCATCTTTCCCCGTTCTTCTTTTTTATCAAGCTTTACTATGTAAATAGGAGCAGCGAATGCGGAGTCAAGGATGGAAATTAGATGATGGCAAGAATAAGTTTCAGGGGCCTAATAAGGATCACAACATTTCAGACAGAGAAAACTCGAAGGATTACAACGTCAACACCAAAAGTAACAAGAAACCTGACGCAGCAGACCTTCCCACTGTTCTTCAGCTTCACGAACATGATATGAATATGGAATATTGTGTTTGAAGAGGTGAAGAAGAGCATTCAGAAGGAGACATAGGGCGCATATAGGTAATCTCAAATGCTAGATTGGCGGTACTTGAGGAATAGTATTTTGGACTAGCCATTCGATATTGGTGGCTGTGGTTATTATCTAAGAACTTGGACAAGATATGGCTGACAGTTTTCTTGGAGGAAAGAATGAAGCAAAGTTCGCATTGGATATGTGGATGGATACTTCCTTCTTTAATATCAGTAATGGATCATCGTCATCCATAATCTTTCTTTACCCTGAAAATTGAATGTAGGCTCTAAACACAACAAGAAGTCCAAAAATCTTCTACTGTTTTGGAGTTCAAATTCTATTTTAACAGAGCTGATAAAGTTGGCTTGATAGCGAGAAGTCAAAAAGAGGAAATATAGACGCTGCACGTGATTTGCACTTAGTTCAATTTCCAAAGCTGATATTTGTATGGTTTCTGAAACGAAACACTTCTTTTCTACCCAACAACAACAGCAACAACAAAGTCGATTCTTGTCAAAGATCGCCAACCATGACAACTTACAAGTCGAAAAGAGCAGAAATGCTCGAGAGATTGTTTGTAGAAGAAAGAGAAAACGCTGAATATTCACACGCGTTGAAAGAAACTGAAAAAGAAGCTTCAAACTTTGAGGTGATCATGATGTTGCCCAAGCTTGAAAAGCTGAAGGCAATTGAAAGTGCTGTTTACAAGAAGCTATGTATGTTCCATAAACAATACTCTTTTTTGATGAAAATTTGCTAACAATCTCTAGTCGGTGATGATCCATCAAATATGAAGACATCCTTGACCGATGAGGCAGAAGAAGAAATCGTCCAATTTGAAACACTCCCTCTCCCCGCCAGCAAGAGAAAGAGGAAAATGGTCGACACAGCTTCAAATGATGGGACCGGGTTCGCACAACCTAATTTGGGTTCCGCGAATCAAGCTTCCAAGCCTGCTGCCCCTGCAGAAGTTAAACTGTTAAGTCGCTTAGAAGAAAATTCAACTGCGAGTAGGTACTAAGCTCAAGGAAGAGATGGGTGCTGCAGCTTGGCAAAGACTAAGATTGATCAATGCAAAGGACGTCGCTCATGAGAAATAAAGAATGGAAAGAATAAATTACCAAGCCAAACTCATTCCAAGAAAACCTGGTGGCAAGATACACCAATACACGTCTTTTGCTCCAGCTACATATGATTGCAGGACATATTGGTCTGCAGAACATGGCTCACAAATCCAAGCCGCTCAAACTGCATTAAATGTGCATTTTCAGACCGAATACAAAGATGATGTCGAGTTTCGCCTGTGGCCTGAACCAGCAGACTGGAAGGCATTTGAGACGGATCTCCAAAAGGGTAGGGAAATTCTTGCTAGGGCAGAAAAATTTCTGGATTTCTGGATCTGGGAGTTCTTGTCCCGAATAACTGCTGAAGATCGAGTTCCTCTAACACCTTGTCTTGATTGGTTCTTGGGAGAAGATGAGTCACCTGAGTACAAGAGATATGTCAAGCTCTCTGTCGCTCCAAAACCAACGAATGCCCTTGCAGCAAAAGCATCATTTCAATTGCGCTTAGCCTAGAAAATTCAAAGCCGCACAGAAAACGCGCAGGGAGCTTTGTACCTCCAAATGAGGAGGCTCAGGGTGAGAACTCCGCTTGAGCTGAGGAGGTGTGGTTGGGCGATGAAGCACCTTGAATTTTGGAGTTGGGAATGATGAAGAAGTTTTAGAATTGAATGCAAATGATTTTAGAATACCCATGTTCTCTTTGATTGTGACAACCTAAATATGCCAAGACACCTAGATTGAACTTGTAAGTTTTGGTTTGAGAAGGATACGGATGGCGTAGAACCTGGACTATAGGCTCTGGTTATCGATGTGTGTTCTGTCTAAAGAAGATAGCTAATTACAGGAAGAAGCAAGGGTCAATAAATAGGCATTGCTGTGAGACTTGCCGTTTGATGTAGGCTATGGATGACTTAAGGCCATCCACTCAGCCCTTGTTCATACAGTAATACTTTTTCTTATTGCTATTTCCCCTTTCATTCGTGACTAGACTAATATGAAATCACTTCATTATTAAAGTTCAATTCAAGTAAACAGGTCAAAATTGGAATCAGTTCACAAAGACTTACTGTAGCATTATGTTTTAATTCCATCAAATTCAACGATAAAAAAGAACGGAAAAGTTTTTTGGGTTTGAGAAGAATACAGATGGCGTAGCACCTAGGATGGTAGGTCCCAAATGTCAATATTATATTTCGTCTAAAGAGCTACTTAATATACAGGAATAGCCTGCCCTTCCTTCTCTTGTGTAATCTAGTCTCTCGCCATAGGACTCATCTTTACTCTTAGTACAGTATCTAAAATGACATGAGAGTGAAACACGCGTGATTTTCAGGACACTAGAGTAATAAAAGTAGATGATGCTTGAGGGCATGAGAGTAGTTTCCAGTTGAAAAACATCAATCGAGCTTAATGAATGTTTGAAGTGAATTCATACTGTGTTTGTATGTACCTAGGCAGTTTCTCGCCTAATTGAAAAAGAAATATTCCAAAGTACCGTTCTAGCCCACAAGTCCGCACAACACAAAATTAAATTCCACGAGATACAATCAACCACAAAAATGCCTCGTCCGACAAGAGCATCAGCCGCAGTGGGCGCCTCAAATTCCGCAGGACTTCCCTCCGAAAATCATATCGACTCACCACAAATTAAAATGGAAATGACTCCACCACGAAATCATCGATCTGGACTATCACGCACAAAATTGGAAGTCGCAGAAGCCACAGAGACCGCAGAAGCACCAGCAGTCGATATTTCTACCGTTTCTCGTGCAACAAAAAGTACATCTCTGGAAATCTCTGACGCTGAAGGGGGTGATTTATATGGCACAGATTCGGATGGCATTTCAGAGGACCCAATCTCCACGGCATCGAGGATTACTACCTCCAAGAAGGTGTTGAGGTGGAAGTGAAAAGGAAAGAGCAAGGTTGCGGATGAAGATTTCCATAATATTGATGGTTCCTCCGATTTGGAGCAAGAGACCAATCATTCTTCCGGATCTCGTCTTCCCGCTGGATCTGAATTGTCTCAAGTAGCCAAAGGAAAAAAGATAGATCTTCCTCGTGATGAAGATATGCTTGACGTTGACCAAATTGCAGACAACGATTCGGATTCCGAGCCTCTTGAATGGACAGATGACGACCAAATCTTGTTGGATGCGACATACCCCCAAGAACTTGCCCTTTAGTGGAGATATAAAGAGATATTTGACTGCGCACGTCATGATTTGTTTCCAAGAGGTGTAAAGTCATCCAATGGACATTGGGAAGATTACCATTGCAAAGATCAAGATCGGTACATCAAGAATGCTTTGTGCCTTACCGGAAGCTTTTGCGCAACTTTATCGGAGCTTATTTGTTATCCACATTTCCGGAAGAACAAGGAATATGTCAAGTACGCTTTATCCAATGCCATCAAAGCTAGGTGCGGTGAAAAGGCTCCAGTTGATATGGCGGATGGATATGATTCTTCTGTGGATTGGGACAAAAAGTTCAAAGAAATCATCAAGAATTTACAAGCTTCGGAAATATTCTTTGACAATAGACAGACGGAGATTGTCGAGCATGTGCTTTCGACGCATATGACTGGAGATCTTCCCCATACTCAGGATTCTTGGATATGCCCCACCTCAAAAAGGTTGCAAAGAGTTCCAGGGCTGTGAAAGAGATATACGACTCGAACAACTTGATGAATATCGACCTTCATAACACCATCAAAGCTTGGGATTCTTACAACCAAGAAGGCGGCTTGAATCTTCCATCCATAAAACCATTTCGGGATTTCTACGCCAAGCAGCACGGACATGCTAAACATGGAACAAGAGCTAAAATACTCGGCTGGAAGAAGGCTTGGATTCTTGAAAAGAGACAGAAAGAAAAAGAGGAAGCTTCGAGGTCAGAGCCTCGAGTTTTTCATAGCTCGCCATTGCTTGGTGGTTCACCTGATGTAGATGATTCATTCGCTGATCTAGTGGGAAATGGTCAATCTTCCATGCAAACTAGAGTCCCCTTCATTCAAGATCCATCTAATTCCAAGAACAACCCATTATCAAATGCTGATTCAAGGGATTATGAAGAAGGTTGTGCCATGATAGGTGGCGATAATTCACCAGCAAGCCAATTGAACGATTCTCAAGAGAACTTTGTGGTCGATAACGGCCATAAAGCTGGTGTATAAGATGTTCATCGTAGTACCCAGAAAATCATCTCACCAAATGTTCTTGATCAAGCTCGGGATATCTCTCTACCGAATGATGTCGAGAGAGCTTCAAAACTTGTCGTGAAAGCATATGATATGTTTTCAGACGATGGTGTCGAGGGTGCATATTGTCTCGAGGATGCAGATGAAGCCGAGGATGCAGATGATGTTGAGGTTCCCCAGGATGAGGCAATTGCAGGGCTTCAATTGGTAGATACGATAACTGTGGTTATCAACACCCAGAAGGGTTTTTAAAGTATCACTGTTAGAACAACAAGAATGATAACGTTCAGAACATCATCAAAATCTTTGTATCAAACACCTCAGATTTTTCAGTCTACGCCGACGAAGATATGGGTGCGGAATCTCTTGATAGGGGATTTTGATGGATTTGGAGAGGGTCCTATGAATGAGGGCTTAAGGATTGGTAAAGGGAGTGGCAAGAAGTCATTGAGCCTTAATAACCTATGTTTATACTCTTGCATAAGATAGTATAGAAGCTTTGTGGACGGTATTGATCGTTGTTATGTGAGAACCCGCCATAGCTCGTATCAGGATGCAGCTAGTTTAATAAGCGAACGAGCTAATTGAACATCTTCAGAGCTAAAAAATTATCCTTTTTTTCTCTCTTACATGATACATTGCTTCATTGCGATAAATTTGTAGGGTCTTAATGCAACTGCATGTATAGTTGTGTCACTTTAATCGATGAAATGTATGAGTCTCCATTAGATGAGCCTTTGATATTTGTGATCTTAGTATGTGAATAAATCCTATCACCCTGGTTCATTATTCCTTCCGCCTATTCGTTTCTAGTATGATTGCCAGTAGACATCTTGTTGTTACATCAAGATGATTTTAACTATGATATTTCTCAACAAGGGGAAAGTGAAAAGGATGGAATTATCTAGGGGATGGACTTCTAGAAGTATAGCGTTTATAAGTGTAGTGAGAGGAGATTAGAACCAGCCCATGATTGGTATGTGTAAGGCAGAGTATGAGGATTATTTAGATTGCAATCATCACTTTTATCTATTTTAACATAGGATCTATGGTATTACTGTTTCATTATATTTGCATAGAAAAATCGAGTTTATTGAAACTGCCATCATGATTGGCTGTGAGGATGATAAGTAGTGAGCACATTAATTTTCTTATTGGGATATTCACTCTATCCAATCTATATTATTTTAAATCAATAGATAAAAAATCCCTTTGGAAAACCTGTCAGCAACTACATTTCTGTCGAGCAATTTTCATGCCCAAATCAAAACAATCCCCGAGTCGATTATACAAGTACTTCAATACACCACGATCATACCTCGGAATCATCATGAATAACGCACCACCAAGACACCAGCCGAATGGCGAACCATCGCGTCGATCATCAAATGTCCAAAATATCAATACATCAACGAAAAATGACAAAGGAGATACTGCACAGCTTTCTCAAGATCCGAAGCGGAAGACCCGAGCAGTCGAAATTCCGAATCGTCAATCTACAATCCAATCTCGTGCAAAACTTGGTGCTTCGAAAGTCTCAATTGATCAAGAATCCGATGTGGAGGATACAGATTCTGACGAATCTCTCGAGAATTTAGTCACCACCGGCAGAAGAGCTAAACCTTCCAAATTCGAAAGAAACGGAAAGAAGAATGGGAAGAAGGGAAACATGGTACTGGAGGAAGATATATACGAGGATGAAACTTCTAGTGAGAAATCAGATCAATCTTCACCAAATTCATCGCCAAGAGTAAAGCGCAATAAGTGAAAGGGTATCGCACTTCCATCCGATGATGGAACACCTGAGCTTGGTGATGAATATGTCACTAAAACCACCTCATCGTTTCCTGAATGGACGGAAGAAGATCAAATCTTATTAGATTGCACATATGATTATGAGCTTGCCCTATGGCGGAGGACACGGGTACTTTTCAATTGTGCTCCATTCGATCTTTTTCCAACGGGAATCAAAGCGACTAGTGATCATTGGGAAGGTTATAAGTACAAAGATGAATTCATCAAGAATGAAAGTTCACTGACCATTCCATTCTGCAAATCGTTTTGTACATTGGTCTGCTTCCCACACTTCGATGATGACATAGAATTCGTCAAGTACGCCTTGTCTACCGCCCTAAAGGCTAGATGCGAAGATCAAATTCCGAATGCTTTGGAGGGAATGAACACTTGGTCGACTTTCACAGCTCAATACGATGGCCTTTTCGAGGATATGAATAGAGCTGAGATCTACTTCACACAAGCCCAAAGGTTGACTTTCAAAAAGATACTCGCCTCCCGCACATCACTTCTCGGACTCCCCAGAAACTCTGCTTTTGTGGACACGAAAATCTTCAAGGAAATTCTGAAATCTACAAGGACTGCAAAGGAAAAAGGCGATTCGATCCACCTCTTGAATGGAGACATACAAAACGTCATCAAAGCTTGGGACATATGGAATAAGGATTCAAAGAAGAATATTCCTTCCATGGAAGAGTCAAAAGATTCTTGGCAGAAAGGAAATGGTAAAGCAATGAAGGTACCTAGGGGGATAGTTCTGGGTTGGAAGAAGGATTGGATTCTCGAGAAGAGGCGCCGTGATGCTATCGATATGAATGAAGGAAATTTGGGTATTGAGGATGGTCAGTCGGGCAATCAGATCAACTCTTCTCTCTGAGAAGGCGTTATCATTTCGGAAGATGAGAATACGGCCGAGGATGATGAAGAGAATCAGAGGTTAGAGGAAATTGAGAAAAAGATATTGGAGATTGAAAAGAAGCGATTAGAAATGCATGGAGACAAAAGAGGCAAGGTATGATCCAGAACGGGTTTATGTATCTCTTAGCACTGCATTGTAGTATCAATTGAGTAGTACTTGCCGGCTTGAAACTTTCTTGTATTCCTAAATATTTAGCACATGCCAAAGTGACACCATCATGTATACTTGAACATTCCACATCTCAAATATACATGCCAAAATTATGACATTCTTGCTTGTCTTTGTAGCAGTCTAGTCAGGAATATCCTTTAGAGAGGATAAATCGAATTATCTCTACATTCAACTGAGTCATATGAGCCATTACCTCTAACATCGCAACTCAGGCGCATGATCAAGATCAGTAAGAGTCTAGAAGCACAAGAATATATGACCGTCGATGGTTGCTCTTCGTCACATACCTTATAAAGCTACGGAGTGACATGCGTCCAAAAGACAAGCAAAATTAACCAGCGCTCAGTGGTCCCCCAGCTTGCAAATGCCACCCTGGCATAGACAGAAGACCTAGGCACGGGCTTAGAGATGTGGGCGATGTCTGCATCTATTGATCAGCCACAACTATTTGACAGAATGTGGCTATGCTAAAGATAGATACGCAAAACAAGGCAATCGTCGTACCAGAGAAAACGAGGATGATTTACATCACGAGACATAAGCACGACGCCAACCTAGTATCTAGGGTGGATCGGAGCTGTACCACTCTCCCAGTCGCAATGGAATCGGCACTGGGATGACTTGTGGTCTGATTCGATAACACGCTCGCCAAAAAAAACAGCATATGGATAAACGCATTGGTAAAGCATGACAATAGCATATTACATTTCCGGCGTAGCTGGGGTCATTAATAGGCTCCCAGCACAGACTCCGTGTAAGATTATAATTACATGCTTGTATTGAGCCCTTCTTTATGATGCGGGAATGTAGTACGCAAGGCCTACAAAGTCGATCGACTGCGGTCAGGAAGGCGCTCTGGTGATAGTAAATATTGGACTAGGCAAAGCAAATAAAATTTATAACAACTAGCTTTGGGCTATCGAGCCAAAATGTACACTTCTTAACTTGACCACCTAAGATCGCTTCCTGAATCGCCTCGTACGCTCGCTAATCGAGTTCAACGCACTCCTAATGATGAAAAAATTTGACAAAAGCATATACTCTAGAATCTGATCAATAAAGAGGGGGGCGGGGGTAAACGAGGTGATGAAATGGGGCAGAGTGTAAAAGAAGGGGGATATCTGTCACAGGAAAGTAGTAGGGACGCGGTAAAGCACTACACTCTATCAAACTCTCACGAAGACGTATTCTAGTAAGAAAAAAGAGTCTCATTTATTTCCAGTATCGCATCGAGGAATCATTCCACGTCTTTGGAGATCAGTTCATCATTCATCCTCTTCAAACTCACTAGTCATCAACCAATATCCGCTTCATTAACCTCTCTTTGACTTCAACCATATCTCCAAACCCATTGATACCGATTGGAATCATACTCTCCCGAATGCGGTCCTTGATCTCCACGATTTTGCTCTGTAGAAGATCCCACCCCTTCATTGGCAGACCAAAACCCCCCACCCAACGACCCCCGACCACGACACTGTGAATGATTTCCTCTTCGGTTTGAAGTACCGCGAGTCGATGATAGCGCAGCGTTCTTCTTGTAACAATCTCTCTCGTCATGACCAGTCTTTCGACAGAAGTTGCAATACTCTCCAGTCCTGAGTCTGGCTGATCTACCATCTGATTTTGATGATTGGTAAGAATCATTATTTTCACCATCATCAGCATCATCATACATCATTCCATCATGATCTCTCTTCCTTGGATTTCTGCTGCTATGAGTACCAGCTGAAGAAGGTGTTGGAGTCATCCTAGGTGGAGTTCTTGCATTGATAGCAGATTCTTGACTACGAGACCCAGATACAGATGCCTGGGTACTAGATCCAAACTTAGGTGCTTGAAAAGTTGACCCAAACCAAGGTAATTCGGAGTCCTGTCGAGGCCCAAACATTGGCATTGGTGAAATGGAACCAAACATAGGTATTCGACCATCCTTTGAAGGCCCAAAATCTGAGAGTCCCGAACGAAATCCAAACTGTTCTCTGTTGGAACTAGATTTTAGTGTACTTGACGAGGTTTTCTCAAGTGCACTTCGATTTTGTTGATCGGTGTCGGTCACATCGACATCAGATGTAGCCCAGGAGTATCTTGGTTCAAAGTCGGGAGCACCATCGTCAAAATAATCCTCAGGGAGAGGTGTTGGCTGGGGCGTAATTCGAGCATAAAAAATCATTTATCGACCACCATCTCTAATGGACCATCTCTTTCCCGATTTTTTATATTCGGCTTTGGCGAAGAACTCTTTGGGTTCTCCTAAGGGGATGACCTCTCTGCCGTTAGGGTGGTATGTACGAACGTCATCTTGGACGTCATTCCCATTTCCCAGTCTGACAACCGCACATAAAGCGTACACATGCTTTTCTCTGTTGTAAATGACTTTACCATCAGTGTCTTTCAGCTCTCTTGTTACAATTCCACCCATCTGAAAATTTCGAAGCTCGAATATGGACCTCATAATCATATGGGGTTCATAGAGAACTTTGAAGAACCATGGCTTGGCTGCGAAAAAGATACGGTGCTCGTTCCCATACCCGACAGTTTTGAAATGCCTATCAATGAATGCATCCAATTTCTTAACGCCATCCCATCTCAATTCATTAAACAGATGAAGAAAATCCGGTTCTGCGATGGCTCTTGCCCAAGCTGGGTCTGGTTCATCGGGATATTTTCGCAGCATGATGTGGCTTGCGATATCGAAGTGGGCACCTCGGAAAAGATTTTGTAACTTCGGGTGCGCGAGAACATCTTCAAATGAGAACTTCTTTTCCATGATACCATTAAATTGAAGATCAGAAATTCCGTGTACGGACTTGAAGAGCTTTCTTTTGATGTCCCAATCATGAATCTTGTTTTCACCAAGATTCATCCAAGCAACTTTGTATACCTCGGCCTCCTCATCCGTGATCTTATCCTGTGGAATACACAAATCTAGGGAGAAACTTAAATGTTGGCGCAAAACCACCAACATGATATTAATTCCGTTTGAACTGGTATTGGCGTGATGATAGGTCGTCGAATCGCGTTTCGATTTAACTATCAAGCCATCACCTGGCAATCCGAATCCTTCAAACGGCCGAGCTCCTCTGAAACGAGATGCATATTTGCCCGTATTTGCTATCCAGAGAACTCTCATATCAGCGATCTCTTTTGCATCTTCGATTTTTGATTGCTTGACGGCTTGCAAGCTTTCCGCATTCGGTCCCACTCGTTACTTCATCATTTTATCGTGAAACTCTTGTTCACTTCCTTGATTTGAATCGAGCAAGAACCCAGCTTCATGCAACGGGATCTTGCAAATGTCTGTTGCATGTTTTTCCATGTCAAGTTTGCTCCAGGTCGCATTTGATGGCATGCGCATGGCATAATTTTTGTCACCACCTCTTGATGAATACATTATGTATATGCTGACTTCTTTTCTTGTAGTGAAAATAAGACGTTGTGAAAAGAAAATTTCACCGGGTCGGCGGGATGTTGAGCTTGCTATGATTTTCAGTAAGCGAGCAAGATTGCGAAGAGAAAATAGAAATAATATGGAAACTGAAATTTTACTAGTGTCCTAGAAAACGCGATACTCAAAATGCACTTGAGAAGTAAAATAGAACCATCCTAATTTTCATAATAATATATCCAAAGCTTAATCAATTCCTTAGAAAACATATTCTGCACTCTCCATACACTTAAATATTTTAGAAAAGACATTATATCACTTCCTGGCGTCTCACTTTCCCAATCCGTGAAACTGTCGACTTCGGCATCTTGAATAGAGTAAACGTTATTTAGCTGTCACTCATTCTGGCAGTGGATTAAAACGTCAACTATTATCTCTTGAATGCTATCAGCGACAATTTCATCTGGCTCGCTTTCTTTGATACGCATATCCGTCCCCTCGGCATGACTGCCGCCAGACTTAGACCTCTTCAGTCTGCTCTCTCGATCAAATCTTCCATTTACTCTTTTTTTCTATCCAAAGGAAGATGTATATATACTAATTCCTAGGCCTATCAAACAATTCATACTACTCCCCAATCTTCCTCTGAGATTTATCTTAGACTATACTCAATTGATTCTGGATTACCGTCGATCCAAGAGGCTCTGCTCAAAAGCTTTGATAGCCTTCCGAATTTCATTTCTTGTCAAAAATTCGAAATATTGTCCAGAATATCGTTAATAACAATCTGCTCACGATCGAATCATATAGCGATACCCGGAACTCCACTCTCTTTGGCCAACTTCAGCAGTTCTCCCTCCCATTGCCTTTTATCAGACGGCTAAGCAAACATGACCACATACTCCTATTAATCGTAAAGTCTGGGGTCAAAGACAGGTTCTTTTCTTGTGAAATGAAGAGTGTCAGCCCCGAATCATTTAGGCTTACTCTAAGGGTGATCTTCCTGTGTCTAAGTATTGTAAGTCTGGAGTATTCCGGTCTGGTCTATAGTGTGGGGTTTAGCATTTCAGATATGCAACAAAAACCACATTATTCAAATAGCGTAGACTATATCTGAGCTAGATGACGGGTATATCAAGTGTGAATCTCAGTGCAGTAGAAGAATATGACTTCGAAATGATGGATTTTTTAAACTGTGGTTCCATGATTGGTCAATTTCGGCAGGGAGAGGCAGCTCGGGGCCAGACCAGCGCGGTCTTGATCAACTTGTCTTGGGACCCTAGAATGCCTTTAGAACTCGGACTTGACCTTTGTTGTTGTTTTCAAGATCAGCATTTCATTGTTCCCATCGAAACGCCGACTCGACAAAGAAATTTCCAATCTGAGAAAGAGATTTCTTCGGCACAATACATGGGTGCCATGTATATTACCAACACAAAGGAATTCTGAACAATGATATTGTTGATTGTAGTCTCCTCCTGACATAACTCTCAATATGTCTGAACTACAGTTGAACAATTCCAACTGCTTGTGTATTTATATCGACCTAATTTCTACTCATACTTATTCTCATCAGTTCCATAGTTCTTTACTTCCTACAACACCTACCACATCTTTCCAGCTCTTCCCAACATTCCAAACACAACGAAATCCAGACTCCAAACAGACAACCCAGCAACCGCCAGAATGTCTTCCAGATTCTGGTCCTCAGAGCCCTTGACAAGAGAAGAACGCGCCCGCCGCGCCAATCTTCCTTACGCAGAACGACAAGCCGAAGCACGCGCCGCCCGCGAAGCTTACGATCAAGCTCAATCCGACTCCCGCAGCGAAACATGGTATCAAGAATCTCCACCCAGAAGATCTCGAACCCATCGATCTCACGCACAAGCTCCTCCAGCCTCCTCCGGCAACTCTCAGTTCTTCCAAGGCAGCACTCAAGCCAAGAGCGCCAAGCAACAGAAACAAGAACAGAAAGCCCAGAAAGCCGCCGAGAAGAAGCATCGTCAAGAAGCTCGCCGCGCAGCCGAAGAGGAAACTCGTAAGGAAAAGAAACATTTCGAAAGCATGTCCCAATGGGAATATGCCAAGCAGTGGAGTACTTCCGATCGAGACGCCTACGGCAACGCATTCGATGACTTCTCTGCTTCGGCAGCGGCGTTCGTCAAGGACAACACGCAAGAATTCCCTCGTCTCAAGAAACACGGTTGTGTACGAAACAACTGTGTTCGGGGAGAGATTCTCGGGCTTTGTCATCACGAAGTCGAGATGACGCTTCGAGGAAGCGGAGTTTTCGATGAGAAGATGATGAAGAAGGAGAGATTGAGATGGCATCCGGATAGATGGACTGGAAAGGGAGATTTGCAGATCAAGGCAAACGAACTCTTCCAGCTCATCCAGAGAATCATTGATGGTGATGTTAATGCATGATTGCTCTGCAATTGTGTAATGACGGATCCGGAGGTGAGAATTCGGTGAGGGAATAGAGAGAGGAGTAGTTGAGCTGGTCTCACTACTAGAGAATCGAAGACAGGTGAGAAAACGAGTAAGCGATAGCTGAGCTGGTCTCGCTACCCACATTCCTTTATAAATTTTCATTTGTCAAAACAACATTTCCATTGTTTCCTTTGTCTCTCTACAATCTATCAGAACCAAAAATAAAAAATAAAAAAACACTCATATGTAAACATAAATCCAATTGATAAACTGTGACTCCCGAACCTTGACCTGGTTTAAAATAAAGTAACACTAACTATCTTAATGAAATAAATTTGGTTGTAGCCTACCTCAATGCTAGCGGAATGATGTGCTAACAAACAAAGATTTGATTTCTATGAGATCAACTTCCCTACCAAAACACCCGTACCGTAGCATAACACACCACACTCCCTCAAACACCAACTCCGCACCGTCGCTATATCTCAGACCCCAGACCTCGTCCTCAGGGTTAAAAAAAAAACAGACTTCCACCACCAACCCCCACATCAATACCGAGCCAGATGACTATCCCTACCTGAGACTTGTAGCCTCGCCCTCCGTCCCCTCCTCCGAAATCATGATGATACTTTTATATACACTCAAAACGCAGCGCGCCCCACCCCCACAACTCCGCCAGACTAGGACTACAAGTGCTTCTAAACCTCATCTGCACATCCATCCGCCTATTCCTGAGTCTCCTGCAGTTCAAAGCACAACAAAAAACGTTCCCGTTTCTCGGTGTCAATACCAAAGTTTCTGGGTTAGTATCCCATTATGGAAGTCCTCAATAATATTTATTGCCTGCCGCTACTCACTTGAGCAATAGACAGATCAACATAGGTGTGGACTTGAATGAAGAGGACATCTCGATTTCTCAATATTTTTAAGATTCATACTAGGTACTTATCTACTCGCTGTTTATACTACCTGGTACCTAGCATGTATGCTCCCACTAACTTCAAATTCACTCCTACTTCTCCAACTCCTGCTTCCCGACCCTCCCCCTCTCCTCTTCTTTTCCCTTTCCCTCTCCTTCCAACCCATCCCATCAACCCTAATCAAGTTGCCTGCTTGACTCTGATCTCCAATTGCCACAGTATAAGATGCAAAAATATCGCTCACATTCGCATTCGAATTCGCGACAGCTGTAACTGTAGCCGCACCGGATGCTTGAAGCAATGCTGAGAATGAGGTACCAACCAGTTCGAAATTATCCATTCTCTCCCCCAAGCCCCTTCCCTCCTCACCGTCAAAAATTCCCCTTCAATCCAAACCACAATACTTCCGCCCACTCCCCTTCGCTTCTACCGTCAGAATCTCGCCTCTTGCCTATGCATCCTCCACCTAGCCACCCAATATCGCATCTTTGAAAATCGCTTTGGGGAATCAAAACAAGAAACAGAAAAAGAGTAAACCACCCCTTATGCCACAATGACGGCACAAAACAAAGATAGAATTATTAGGAAATTTGCTCAGTGAGAGTGTGTGGGAAATTCATAAAATTCGTCATCAATCCTTTTTTCTCTCCATCCCTCCACCTTGCCCCCTCACCCCACCAACCATCTTCATCTGATCCTCCTCCCCTCCACTACCAAATCAATGAAATGTAATGTTGTATCGCGTGCCCAGCACAAATTCCGGATCTCAATAAACAATTAGTGCAGATGGAAAAGTTTCAACAAGTAATTATGAATTTCTTTGATGATGTGATGTGTTTATCCACGAATGAATGAAAAAAAAAAAAGTTGGCGATCGCTCAGACCTAGTCTTTAAGTCAAGTATGAATCCATCAGCTCCATAAACGCCATAAAACTTGCTTGCTTGCATGCTTAGCTCAATTTACACAAAAAAGAAAAGGGAAAAAACTCCGTATGGGTGAAGAGAACGAATTCCATATTCGTTCTCAAAAAAATTACATGATGACGCAACAACCACAACTTTTGCTTGATTCAGGAGAATCTTGAACACGAATTGGTGGTTTAGGATCTGGGATATTAACACCTTGCGGTTTTCCAGTTGCGATTTTTGGCATTGTGCTATAACTTGATGCTCTCTCCACTGGTGATCTAGGACCCGTACTTAATGTAGGTGATTTAGGAGTGCTGGCGGAAACAGGTGAGACGGGCGACACTGGTGATGGAGATTGTGGGGCACCTAATGGCCATTCTGGACCTTGTCCTCCTGACTTTGGTTCCTCTGGTCCATCGGGTCCTTCTGGTGGTGGAGAAAATGGATCCGGGCGTGGTCTGTATTCCTGTTGATTTAATGGCCTAAAATCTGTATCATAAACATTTCCATATTTACCCTCCTTCTCCCATTGTTCTTGTTGCATACGTTTCGCATGAGTCGGAATTACTTGTTGATCGGGAGGTAATCTAGGATCAGGTTTGTACATAGTAGCCAACCAAGGTGGGTCACCTTCAGGTCTTTTTGATGTATTAATTAAATCGCCTGAACGAGTTTTTGGTCGTATATCTGGCGCGTTTGTTCCACTCGGCTTTTGTTTTTGTCTCTGTGCTGATGTTTGTCTA